ACAGTCCAAGCTGCACGCGGGGGATGAGAATCACGAGGCGCAGTTCTTGGCTCTCAGCGCAGGATGGCTTTTCCCCTTGCTCGTGCCCTGAGGACTGTGGCCTCTGCGGGCATTCAGCCTGTTCTTGCCCTTTCCTCTTTTCCTCTCCCAGGCTTCCCACGCACTTGCTGCCTTCCATGGCGGGTCCTAGCTCGTCTCCTACAATGTGGGCATCTGTTCCTGGGGCTGCTTTATAGAGGCTGCAGACAATGCCTAACTTCTAGCCACTTTCCTGATGAAAACTTGTCTCCGGCTGGCTGTCCCATGACAATGCTCTAGGAGGGTCTGGATAACCAGATTCTATCTAGCCTTTCCCACAACTTGTTGGGCGACTCTGGACAAATTTCCTCACTTCTCCTGCTTTTGTGACAGCCTTTTGAAAGGAAGTGTGCAGACAGGGTCATCCCTGTGCAGCCAGAGAGGGCTGGAGACCTGAGCCCACCCGGTCTGCAAACGATGGGGAGATGAAGACTGTCCACTGAGGACATAATGCTGAAAGGAGCTTTCCCAGAGGAAGAGATTCGATCGGGGAGGACTTTGGATAAACTCAGTCTTTAAGAAATGAAATAGCAAAGACCAGAATTCTGTGTGGCTTCTAGGTACATGTCTCAGACGTCAGGAACAAGATTGAAAGTGTCCTTGTCAATTCTGGAGCCTCCGACACTGCCCGCATTGATTAGCCCGGCTTATTCTATCAAGTGACTGTCAGGTTTTTAATCATTTAACAGATACGTGTTAACCAGACACAGGTCTTCAGGCTCAGGAACCCCAGGGACAGAATGGGCTACTTATTATGCCAGGTGGCAGCATGTGCTGCCAGAGAGGGCATCCGGAAGCGTGGCTTTCCCCGTTCCTAGCCGGGAGCGCAGAGGTTTGCCGGGAGGGGCGGGAGGTCCAGGCCTACCTAACTTCTTCGGGCCTTTGGGGTGCCTCAGCGATCACTCAGCCTGAGGCTGCTCTCGCGTCTGCACCTGCTGCCTCGCACACTCTCTCAACCTTGGGCTGGCTCAGCTCGCAGAGCCTGGGGTCTGTTCTGCATCAAAGCTCCTGCCACTGAAACAGCAGCACAGCCGATCACGGTGACAGCCGCTGAGTCTTCTAGGCAGGGAGGTTGGCTGTGGTGCACAGCCAGATGATAAACTGTATCTACGGTGCACGGCAGGGCTAATTAGCTGCTAAGGGGGCTTGGTCGATGTTCAGAGTGTGGTTGTGATACTCCAGCTAGCAACTCCCACCTGGCCTGACTCGAGGAGCATGGAAGGCTCTGCTGTCAGCCCTGGCTGCCTTCCGAGGTGGGAACACTGCTGGGCACACACAGGTATGTCCAGTAGTGCTTTCTGTGCAGGACTTAACTGAGACTGAAGGAAGGAGAACAGATTGGGAGGTGTGGCAGGAAGCTGAGTGGAGTAAGGCAGGTGTGTGCACATAAACACACCTGTTCCAGGGAGTATAAAGTCGTGCAGAGCTAACAAGGGAACTAGAATAAAGATGGAAGATGCTATTATGTCGGTCACAGAAAGCACAATCTTTGGCCAGTCCGTCAACCCCTCTGGGACAAGGCGCTGTTTTGCGGGGGTGGGGTATGCACATCAAAGTACCCTTTGCAGTGCCAGGGCTGCAAAGGAGAGAGCCGTCCTCCTCCACTGGGGCGATTTGACCGCCCCCCTCCCCCCCAGGGACATTTGACACTGTCTGGAGACATTTTTGGCTGTCTCATCCGGAGGGGAGATACTGGTATTTGATAGGTAGAGGCCAGAGGTGTTGCTAACATCCTGCAATGTGGATGGCTCCTCCCCTGACAGAGAATTTTGTGGCTCCAAAGTGTCACTAGAAACCCCAGAGCGAGACTTGCATCTTATATGATGTGGAATTCTGGCAGAGACCTGTACCTCCTCTTCTGAACGGTGGGGACAATATGACCTGCGCTGTTCTTTATACAACTTTGTGAGGCTCGGTCCCCACATATATGACAACTTTTTATTAATTTTGGTAAGGGCTCTTTCCTAAGCTTTTCTTAGTTTGAAACCTGCAGGTGACTAAAGCATCTAGCACGGTGACTGGCATATAGTAGGCGCTCAATAAGTTAAGATAAAAGCAACATAGTAAAAAGAAAAAAAAAAGTCTCACTCCCCCTCCCTGGCCCATTTCCTCCACATCTCAAGGCCACCTTTTCCTGTAGACTTTCTATAGGGTTCTATACAGGCAGAGGGCCGTGGTGTTAGCAGAGGCTCTCTAAAAGCACTCTTGAGGGATCAAGGATAGGACTAACCATCCTGAGGACAGAAGGCTGACAAAAGAAAGTGGGGAGTTTTGCCAAATCTCGAGGGAAAGCCTCCTGGCCCCTCGCAGGAGTCCTGTGCTTCCTGCGCCAGCAGCCCTGGGGGTTAAGGCACCAGGTGAGGTCGGCTTCCCCAAGCATCTGCGCCAATTGCTGATGCTCAGCCTGCAGAAGCTGGACTCAGAAAGTGGGCAGCTTGCTGGTGGCGGTGGGGTGGGGGCAGGGCCCTCCCGAGGCTACCAGCTTGTGCAAGCTTCTGCAGAGGAACCAAGGGCATGATCCACCCTTGAACTTGCCGTCCAACTGGGAAGGCCAGATGTACCCTCGAGATTTGATGAGACTGTGTCGTGAAGTGTGTGCAGGTGCTGGAACAGAGGGCAGACGTACTGAAAACTGAGAAGCAAAGAGGCGGAACGGAGAGGGCTGGAGCTCAGGCAGACGAGCAGACATCAGGCCCGCATTTTAGGACTTGCAGATCCACAGCAATCTCTGGACTGCCATCTCTTTGCGAGCTTCTCAGGGCTGGTGGGGGGGAGGGGGGGGGGCGGTCGGAGGCCATCTTGTCCCAACCTCTGGAAGGGGAGGAGGAAACAGACTGCAGGGGTAGCAGCCTCGCTGGCCAGCACTTTCCCCATTCCACTGCCTTGCTTCCCCTTCGGCATATGGTCTCCCATCCGCTTTATTTCTATGAAGGAAGTGAGACTAATCCCATCTTGCACATGGAGGAACTGGGGCAGGAAGGAAGGCCTGGTCCAAGGCTGCAGTGACTTGCGACTTCCATCCGGAATCCTCCTACATGCCAGGGCAAGGAGAAAACTGGGCCCGCTTCGGGGTGCGAGAGGAGGAAGGGGACCGAGGCCCATTTCTCTCCCAGGGGAGGCACAAGGTGAGAATCCCTCACAGAACTGCTTAGGAGCTGGTCCCTCCCCCACCTCTTCCCTCATCCTCAGAGGTGCCCACTCCTTCCATTGACGGTGACCTTTCCCCCACTGTAATTTACCCACCTTGTGTCCCACACTGTCAAGGTGACCACTTCCAACTGAGGTGTAACAACCCCATAGCCACTTCCCCTCCCTACTCCTCCGGAACAAGCACATGCCACATTGCCAGGCCTTGGTGCAGAGGAGGCACCTCCCAGGAAATGTTTAATCTGCACAGAAGCTG